CAACTCCCTCAGAGACCTGAGAAGGAAACAATATTTACTGAGTAAACAGGAAGTGCAAACAAGTGACTTCCAAAAAATGTGAGAAATGACAGAAACATCTGGCTTCCTGTACAGTCACCCAAGTTTCCTCTGTAACATTGGGGTCATCCATCTTCGGCCTATAGCCCTAGCATATCTGACAAACTTATCTGTGAAACAGGATTTTCTGAAGGGCTGTCCTACTTTGTCTTGGCAAAGTCGGCCATCCTTTATTTTGTGCCCTGCTTGTCCCATTTGGACAGCACGCTGTCAGCAGTTGATATAAGAGTACTTTCTTGCCCAGTGGCCAACTTGCCACAAAGAAAGTAAACTCCATGTGGAGTTTCTTCTATGCCCATCATCTTCTCTGAAGTAGACTGGTGCTACCAGAAGCAGACATGTCTCATTGTCATAAAAAAAAAAACTATGTTATTAAAACATCTTAAATGCCACATTCTGTAGATCTCTGAAGTGTTTGAAGATGACCTGTTTATCTAAAATATATCTGTTTGACCTTGCAAACATACCTAATACGACTTACAAGTGTGATTGTAATGACTAATTACTAACTTGTATTTCTTTGTATCCTAATTAGTTGGTAATAATAACTTTCAAGGACTAGCATTTTACATTACATTGTTAAATGGACTGTATAGGTACAATACCTTGAACAAGAATAGAAATGTATATATAGTATGTTTTAACAAAATTAATCTCAACTTTGTATCAATATACAAAATTTGTATACAATATACAAAAATCCAATCCAATGTAAAATATTTAAAACTAGTAGTTGCTTTTTAAAAGTAGATTCAATAATCTACCTTTTTATCTTATCATATTCATATTTTCCTTTTTTCTTTTCTGAGTAGATTCTATATCCTCTTTTTTTCCTTTCAGAGTAGATTTAATAATCTACCTTTTTATCCTATCATTTTTTAGAGTAGATTCAATAATCTACCTTTTAATCCTATCATTTCTATATAATACATTTCTATATCATATCCTCCTTTCTTCTTTTTAGAAAGAGATTGACTATGAGAAATAACAATTTTTTACCAACCACTAAACAAAGACAAACATCCATAATCCATTTTTTGGGAATGTAGGCATAGTGTTCTATATTACTTCCTGCTGATTGGAGGCACTGGTAGTCTGATGGGGACACAAAGAAAATTTAGGATTATGGTCAAGTCCTGACTGGAGTAGTCTGTGAGGCTGTATCATCTCAGCTAGCCATCTCAATATTGTCCTGAGCAATTTGCAGTGCAAAACTGATCTTTGGGTGGTGTTTGTCAGCTTGGTGGCGTTATCATTGTCCTAATGGAATCATCATTGTGGGGTCCCATCATCTTTTTGGAGACCTCAAAGTTGCTGTTAAGCATGGTCATGGTTCACTGCAGAAAATCTTTGTCATGGAACATTTTTTCTGGATGATTTGTCCTTTTTCTTCAGATGTCTCATTTGTCGAGGGTTCTTCAGATTGCTTAGCTAGATGCCTTCATTCTCCTAAAGACAAAACCAAAACTCTTCCCCAGCTCTAACTTTGGGGAGTTTCCAAATCCAATCTTTATCAGTTTTGATTTATGGTTTCTCCCAATTTTTTTGTTCTCTTGTATAGCTGTTCTATCATCCAGAGCAGTATGGGTTTTTACAATAGGCATTAGGTTTTTTAATTGCTTTGGGAAGGAGTTTCCTCCATGATTACAGGAAAAGACTGAATGGAATTTGACATGGGGACCTGTGAGAGACCCCTTTGGGCATTTCCCGACAGCAAAGGCTAGAAATTATCTTGACTGATCCTTGTTGATCTACATTCATTAGTCTAATGTCTGCCTTTACCACACCTTCTGCATAATCCAGAAGGGATAGACATTCTGTTGGGATTATTCCTTGACAAAACATTATTTCTAGAAACACTCTGTTTACAGACCCTTCTTAGGTGACTTTGTTTGCTGAAATTGAAACATTTGACAGTACTATTTTTCTTCAAACCTCTGGAAATCACCTCTCCTATTCAAGCGTCATCATGATCATGAGATTCAATATTTTTTGTATCTTGGATCCATTCCTCCAAGGGTGCTGATCTTGCCTTTAATGGCATGAGCATGCCCCTGCCACGTTACCAGATGAACTAATGCTTTTGCACACCGATAGTCATCATTGGCCAACTCTTGCCTCCAGTAGCAGTCACATTCAGGAACTATAGCTTCAGAATGACTATAACAGTGAAGGAAGCAAGAAAGAATGATTGTGTCCAGAGTAAACCACTTTATAGGCTCTTGGTTTATGCCCTCCCCTCCTGCTTATGGAGAGACAGAGAGAGCCTAAAGACTGTTTTATCACCTTAAATTTCATGTAACAACATATTATGCAGCTGTGAGCCTACTGTGAGAGTAAATAACTCATTGTAATGTAGTCCTGGCACACAGGGATTGTTTAACACATGCTTCTGACATTTGAAAGGCAGAGATCATGGAAGTGTGTAAAGAGATTGATTCAAGTGACACAATATTGACTTTACTCTTTTCTTTCAGGACCAGTCTTAGTAGGCTAATAACAGAAGGAAATGGTGAACAGAAGTGTTGGTGGCGTGTCTACGCTTGACTCAGATGAAAACAAAATCATTTCTACTCCGTAAAACCGCCCTTTTACAGAGAAAAAGTGAAGGCAAGTCCTGAGATTACATAATATAACAGTAAACTTTTCAGAGCTTCCCGGGAAATATGGTTAAATGGGCCACAGCTCTCTGAAGGTGTTTTCTGTGCTCACAAAAACAGAGGGTCTCTGTGGGTTAGAATGTCATTATGTTTTAATGGGGGTGAAGGAAATACACGGGCATTGGTCATTTGAGGTGTATAGTTCAGTGATTCATCTATCACCCCAGCATTCTATATACCTCTTTAAAGCCCACTTCACCTCTTCCCTTACAAGTTAGGCTACATGTTTCGATTTTCTCTCACATTAGTTTTGAATTTTCTAGAAAAAGAAATCATACAATACACAGCTTGTATTGCTATGGTTTCTCAACTTTTTATAAATTATTATTTCCCTAGAAAATATTTTTAGAGGTTTTGTTTTCCCCTAATTTTCTTCCCTGTTCCTCTGAAAATTTAGTTTATCTGTGTGTCTGGTTAGTTATGGTACACATATCTCTGCTTGATACATAGAATACTATTTTTTACACTTCATTAACCTTTTCTTGTACCTTTAGAAGCACTGTCACCTTACTGAGAATATACGTGATTTATACAAATCTTTTGAGATTCACCAACATTGTGTATATCATCTGGTCTAATAATTGGTTTATAAGTTGGGTGAGAATACATTGTTTGAAGAGGTGTTCAGAAAAGCATTAAGAATAATTGCAGCCGGGCGGTGGTGGCGCACGCCTTTAATCCCAGCACTCGGGAGGCAGAGCCAGGTGGATCTCTGTGAGTTCAAGGCCAGCCTGGGCTACCAAGTGAGTTTCAGGAAAAGGTGCAAAGCTACACAGAGAAACCCTGTCTGGAAAAACCAAAAAAAAAAAAAAAAAAAAAAAAAAAGAATAATTGCAAATGTGTTATAAATGTCAGGTTCCCAGCGAATGACTTCATTACTGTTCCTGCTCAGTTCTAGTTTTCCTAATGTCAGTAAACAAATACCTTAGATGTTATCATTATTATGCCACTGTTCAAGTCAGAATGCAAGGCTTGAGTAACCTTTTCTTTCTTCCTTTTAACCAGCAAAATTCAAGCAGTGTAATCCACGACATTCTGAATTTTTAAAATTATATTTTTATTGATTCTTTGAGAATTTCATGCTGGATTTAAGGATATTATTTATTTTTTTAGATGAGGAGCCACTGAAAGATTTAAATAGGAAATTGGATATGACTTGTGTAGTAAAATCCAAAGATTTAAAAATTCTTACTGATAATGAATGAAGAATATGGAAAGCCGGAGAAAAGGCTTAGCAGTTAAAAAGAACACTGACTGCACTTCCACAGGACCTGGGTTCAATTCCCATCACCATCTGGGACTCCAGTAGCTGGAGATCTGACATCCTCTTCTGGCTTCCAAGCACTCATGTGGTACACATACATAGATGCAGGCAAAACTCTCATACACATAACATAACATAAATGATAAAAATAAGAATTTGGAGAATTGATTAGAGAGGACTAGGTACTCATAAAGAGGGTTTTTCAGGAGTCCAAACAAGTAGTAAGAGTAGGTCTTTTTAAATTTGCAAGGCATTTGAAGATACAAGATGAGAGACTTGGGAGGCATGTCATATTTCAGGGGAAGAACTTATCCAAGGTCTCATAGAGGATGATGTTAAAACTATCGTGAGAAAAACAGATAGATGTTTGTTTGTACAGTTCTCTATTGCTTTGACTTCCCTGAGCTTCAGTTAAATTAGTCAGCATTCTCAAAGAGTTAAGTATGAATATCCTTGGGTCATTGACTGATTACTTGGAAGGACTTAGAGAAATGGAACCATGTTAAAAATATTTTGCATTGCTTCACTAGCCACTCAGCATTCCAATTGTGTCTCTGGGGGTAGAATCCTCATGACTAAATCCTGATGACTTTGTGACAAGAGGAGAGAGATTAAAAAAGACACATTCACAGTTCCTGGGTTCTGTTACCTCCCTACAACTCTGCCAGAAAGAAGGACATCATCAAATGTGGCCCCCTAACCTTGAGCTGTCAGAACTGTGTGCCAAAATGAACCTCTTTTCTAAACTCAGTCTGTGGTATTGTGTTATAATAATTATCAAACAGACTAATGAAATGGCTTGGAGTTTTAGGCGTAGAGACTACAAATATGCAGACAGTATTATCTTCATTCTTAAAGCATATAAAGTGTAATGCTATGAAGACAGATAAACTACAGAGCCACCTTCTCAGTGTTTTGGAGGAGTTGTGAACAAAGGTCTGGAATTTTGTCCAGATACATTAGTGGTTTTTCTTTTTTTTTGCTTTTGCAGGCAATGTTTGAAGAATGGACAAATTTAATACCTCTGAGAATTCCTCTTGTGATCCTATACTGGCGCACCATTTAACCTCGCTTTACTTCATAGTGCTCATTGGAGGGCTGGCAGGGCTCATCTCCATCCTGTTCTTGCTGGTGAAAATGAACTCACGTTCAGTGACCACCATGGCAGTCATCAACCTGGTGGTGGTCCATGGGTTATTCCTGCTGACTGTGCCTTTCCGCTTGGCATACCTCATCAAGGGGACTTGGACATTTGGATTACCCTTCTGCAAATTTGTGAGTGCCATGCTGCATATACACATGTACCTCACCTTCTTCTTCTACGTGGTGATACTGGTCATCAGGTACCTCATCTTCTTCAAGCGCAGAGACAAAGTAGAATTCTATAGAAAACTGCATGCAGTTGCTGCCAGTACTGCTATGTGGCTTTTGGTGATTGTCATTGTGGTGCCCCTGGTGGTTTCTCAGTATGGAAATAATGAAGAATACAATGACCAACACTGCTTCAGATTCCATAAAGAACTTGCCCGTGATTATGTACAAGTTGTCAACTATATGATAGTGATTATTGTCATAACCATTGCGATGATTCTCTTGGGTTTCCAAGTCTTCATCACATTGTCCATGGTTCGGAAGCTTCGACACTCCTTACTGTCCCACCAGGAGTTCTGGGCTCAGCTGAAAAACCTATTCTTTATAGGCATAATCCTTATTTGTTTTCTTCCCTACCAGTTCTTCAGGATTTATTACTTGTACGTAGTGGCACACTCCAAGAACTGTAAAAACAAAGTTGCATTTTACAATGAAATCTTCTTAAGCACAACAGCCATCAGCTGCTATGATTTGCTGCTCTTCGTCCTTGGAGGAAGCCATTGGGTTAAGCAAAAGATTATTGACCTATGGAATTGCCTTTTATGCTATTAGCCAAGACTACTACAGCAATCATTTCTTCCTGTTGGGAATGGGAATAAGCAAGGGAGGAAAGAATGGCTTTGCATTGCTTGATCAAAACTTTGCCTTGGCCCAGACAAAGAAAAGGACTAAAAAGTATCCAAGTGCTCCCTGTAAAAAATGTCCATGCAAAGACCAGTTGTAGTGAACCTACATGGAATTGCAATTGCATTATTTTCAAACATAGTGGTTGCTTGCTCCATCCGGAAAACACGGGTCTGCTGGATGCTGAAGTTCTATCAGGGTATGGTGACTTCCTGGGTTTGAGACATGGTTTTCCCTGCCAGGCTTTGAGTTACAGTTAGGTGAAGAGTTATTTTCAGTCTACTTCTCCTTCCAAAGGCTAATCCTGGTTATCAAACAGCTCCAAAGAGATCAAGTCCACTTGTTGTACCAGACAAATTGCCACAACCAACATAAGCAGCCTGGCAAAATAGCCAGGCAAGTGGAGGAGTAAGAAACTTTTCTGTATCATCCTAACTTTGGAGGGAGCAGCAGGACTTCTGCTTTAAGAAGCTTTCTAGCCTTGCCCTTCTGAAGGTTGTGTTTAAGGACATGAGTAATGAACTCTCATCAATCACTCTCTGGAAATTCTCCGTAACCTTATTAAGATGCCGAAGTAATGGTGAAAGTCTTATAGAATGCTCCTGGACAGTGTCCTGCTCACAGTGAAATGAATGGCAATACAGGATAATTAACCTTTTTTCCTTTCCTGTTTTTGAAAATATTTTTATGTCTTGGTCCACAGTTAATGCATTTTCCCCATTTGAAGATAAGAAGTTATACTGTAATATTTAAGTTGCACTCCATTCTTAAAAATCATATGTTTTTAAAACAAAACCTGTATTTTTGAGCAAAAAGAACTTCTGGGGAAAATATGGGATAGTCCTTAATTTAGAATACATGAGATTAGGTTGCATTAAGAGAGTCTTAGAAAATGTTTGAAAATGAATGAATAAATATGCTGGAAGGTAATACCATTCCATCCTTTAAAATATTAAACCATATGGATATCTTTGCCAAATTCTTAGTAACATTTTGCAATTTGGTTCATAACTTGTGACATATGGCATATTAAACTGCATTAAACTTTTATTTCAAGAATTCATTATTGAGTTCACATACGGGTTTATGGTTTGTACTTAATTGGCTTTGTTTTTTTTTTGCCTTTTCCTCTTATTCTGTCTCTCTTAGTTTCATGATCTTGATAGTTTTCAGGGAACTGAGCCATATCCATATTTAAGCCTCCAGACAACCTGAAGTCATTAGTGGTGTGAGTAGAAGGACAGGTGAGTCACCAGGGCTCTTCTTCCCGGAAGGGACATTCTTACACCTAAAAGACTTTTGTTAGTTGCTGCTGTTCCAAGGATCCCAAGTTCCTCTGAGGGACAAGATGTGCCCTGTGAGACTTGAGTTTCAGTGGAATTACCAAGGCATAGCAACTTATTCTGGAGAAAAACATGTAGCAACACACTGAAAATTTGACTCTTTCTAACTTTTCCTCTTTAAAATTTCAGCTCTCCATTTCCATCTCTTTTTAAAAAAACATTTCTTTCATTTACTACTTGTTTTCTGTTCCCATTTATTTTCTAAGTTTTTTCCTCACTTTGACTCATAAAGTTTGTATGACCATTGCTAAGATTCATAAACATTTTAAGAAAATTTGTAACACCCACAAAATGTATAAGAAAATAAAGATAGGTGAAATATTTAAAATAAGCTTTACTTGAGAAAGTTTCAGGAGGGCTTTCTTCTTATGGCTACTATAAGTGTAGACTCTGCATCATACTTTTATAGACTGGATTATATCTTTCAGACTTTAGATATACTGATACAAAGCAGTTATGCATTTTTCAATATTATAATAAGTGGCCCATATATTTCTATGGGTCTATATATGGAAGTATTATCCAGAATATAGAAATGCAGCATTCTGTAATTTATAATACCTTATTGATAAGGTTTCACAGAATAAATGGAAAGTTTTCAAGTTGCCTAGTCTTTTGATTTAGTTGGTATAAAAATGGATGTTACAAGTAAATGGGAACTGACATTAGTCTCAAAGGCCACTTTGGATGTCACCAATATAAGGAATACTAGTAGGATCTGGTGATGAGATCAGGAACTAGACATTTGGCCTTGCATTAAAAAGAGTCATATTGTCTTGCTGTGTATTTGAATAATCTCCCAGACATGTAGGAAGTGGAATATATGTAAGTAATTATTGGAGCTAATGGGTTTTATTCAGTTTTCATAGCATATAATATTTTGACCCATTTTTTTTGAAAACACAATTTTCATGGACATTAAGGAAAGATTTTATTCTGGTTCCCTCAGAACCTTACTAAGAGTTGTTTATTATTTTTTAAAAAGTCACATGATTAACAAGCAAGACCATTTATGAAGTTAAAATACAACACAATATTGCCATAAATGATCATTTTAGCAGTTTTATTAAGGTGGGAATAATATAGAGATGTCAATATCATATTGCCTCATTTTGTCTCTCTTGTTAGTACACAACTAAAAATGTAGTTTTTCTTATATTTGTTATATATAGTATGGGAAAGTTATGAAATTCATTATCTTCAAATTCCATTTGAGAATGGGAAAGTGTTATTTAATATTGTGATACAAAGTAAGGTTGTTCTCTAAGATCCATGTGATCTATGATGCACAGGATCAGTTGTAAAGGTGGTTCTGTCTGTGTGGACATTAGGATCATGGAAAAATGTGCTGATGTCTTGGGAATACTCCTCTGAGTTGATAAAATCTTTGATCCTTTCTTCTGTCTGTCAAATGTAATTTTTAGGAAAATGACAAGGACATGTTTGTGTTTCCTTTGTTGCTAAGTAAAAGGCATTTCTCTATCATCACTGTCAGATTGGCTTAGTATCAATGTCCAATAGATTCTAGACCCAAAGATAAGACAGTGGTTGAGATACAGGTAGACATAGAAAGATTGCTTCTGGCATCCTAGTCAACAGTTGTTCTTTACTTAATTTTCTTGTAAAAGGGTCATTGAATTAGAAAGAAAGCCACTCTGTTTATTTGAAATGGAATGAGTTTTGTGCAGAGTGAATGAAGAGGTTTAGAAAATACATTTGCCTTCCAGGATTCCCCTCCAAGAAACTGCCATTAAATCTGTATCCCTGGGCCGTGATGTCCATTTTTCTGAAGGTGAGTGTCAGGAAACTCTCATCAGCTTTGGGGTCTAAGTCAGTGAGAGGAACATTTGTGGTGCTGTCATCTTAGATTGGAAATTTTTTTGCTTATTTACCTCTAACAAGATGTGGGACAAGGCCTAGAACAAGCCTGTCCCACCCACTGGCATTACTGAACAAAGAACCCCTCCTTGTGATAGAGGCTCATTGAACATCCTGGAAATAGCTGGTGAGGGGAGTTTCATGGTAAAAGGCCACAGTGACGGTTTTGATAATGCCAAGAAAGCTCACCCCGCAAGGGGATTGATTACATGTATCAGACAGCAGGGGAATCTGAGTAGAGGCAGCTGTTTGAGAAAATGAGACGCTGTTTGGAGAACCCCAAGCTAAGGGCATAAGGGTTTAGAGGAACCTTGTTCAGTGGTTTTGGGAAAACATGAAGCTTCATGGGAAACACTGATGGGGAGGGCAGCCAGAGGAACACACATGGAAGATGCTTCAAACAAAGCTAGATGGTGTTGGGGAATGATGTTTTTTAAGTATATCTTAGTATTTCATGTTATTAGCAATGAATGACTTCTCTTCCCTCCCTTCCTCCCTACCTCCTTCCTTCTATCCCTCACTTGCTTTTCCTCTCTTTAATCTGAACCATAGCTCTTACAGAAGGCATGGTGTTGGTACAAAGATGTGACCATTGTCCATTTGACAGTCATTTTAGAGAAGAATAATCTCATCCCTGGATGAAGAAAAGAGTTGCTTAAATTCTAGAGTAGTCAAGATTGTCTCTTTTGTTCTCAGAAGAACATTGTTTCAAATGTCAAAAATAAACACCAAAGTCTATACCTGCCTCCTAGAAGCGCTTCTTTAGGTCTGCCCATCTTTTGCAGGCCTACAGAGTCTCAAGTTCAGGAAAGTCCAGAAAGCCTCAAATGATGTCCAAGTATGATGTCTGTACATAAAACACATGTTTCATGACAATCTGATTGTCTGCCATATCCCCTGATCTGTCCATCTCTTTCCCAAAATCACAAAGAGCATTCTTCTTGGCAATGGGCCTTCCACTGAAAACAGGTGCAAGTCAATTAGAAGTTATATGGTTTTCAGACTTAATTGTTAGTAATTAGGAATTTTGATATACATAACAGGAACTTTCACATGCGAGAACTAAACACATGGAGACAGTTAGAGCATAGACACGACAAAGGAATATCCAGAGTACATATGTACAAAGTCTACAGTCTTTCTACCAAGGGTTCTTTGAGCATAAGGCAAGTAAATAGTGGCAAACCAAACTAGTGGGAACTCATAAACTGTGGACTAGTAGCTGTGGAACAGTGGAAATCTTACATCTAAACATGTTTTAAATTTTAAAGACAGAAAAAAATACCATTGAACCCATGAAAGTGAAACATTCATCAGTAAAAGAAAAATAATTACAAAAGAATTAACTATGTTCTTTCATAGTATATGGGCCAGAAAATGAAGAGTTGGAGTGGAAGGTGGGGAAATTAATACCTGTCGGATTTTGATGAAAAATATAGTTATAAGCTCTGCAAACAGGTAAATTGTTGTGTATGTTCATATGCTAATGAAGATACTTTTGGAACACTTTTCTCTCGACCTCAGCAGAAATCAACTCGGAAACACTGCTTCTTCAACACCAGGGTCTTCTCCAGCATAAGGCCAACTCTACTTCCTCAGCAGTCAACTTTGCAGGAGGCAAAGTGCTAACAAACGCACATTTCTTTTAAAGTCCAACACACTAAGCATCGAGTCTGGGGGGCAGTTCTTCCACAATTCCTGCAGCAGGAGGGCCATATCCTTAGTATTCCACCTTTCATGCTTGTCTTCTGCACCTTCCCACTCCTAACTGGATATGATAAGATAAAAAGGGAGATTATGGAATCTACTTTTAAAAAGGAACTACTTGTTTTAAAAAAGATAAGTAATGAAAATTTTTTGATCTGAGTTTATCAGATGTTTCTGGACTGGACATTGTTAATATATATAATGGAGTTTTTATCTGAATCTGTCAAATGTTAATGGACTAGACATCGTTAATGTAATCTTGACTGTATATATTGTATATACTTATTGGATAGTTTTTCTTGTATTAGTTATAAGCCTTTTTTTAATTTTAGACAAAAAGAGAGGAAATGTGGTGGTATTGTGTTCCCTAAAATATTGTGTACCTTAATAAACTTATCTGGGGTCAGAGAACAGACAGCCACTAGATACAGAGGCTAGACAATGGTGGCACTCACGCCTTTAATCCTAGCATTCCAGAGACAGAAATCCCTCTGGATCTCTGTGAGTTCAAGGCCGCATTGGAAACAGCCAGGCATGGTGACTCACACCTTTAATCCCAGAAAGCAGCCTTTAATCCCAGGGAATGGTGGTAGAAAGCAGAAAGGTTTATAAGACAGGAGGACCAGAAACTAGAAGCATTTGGCTGGTTAAGCATTCAGGCTTCTGAGAGCCATTGGGATGAGGACACAGAAGCTTCCAGTCTGAGGAAGCAGGACCAGCTGAGGAATTGGCAAGGTGAGATAGCTGTGGCTTGTTCTGGTACTCTGACCTTCCAGCATTTACCCCAATAACTGGCCTCAGGTTTGATCTTATTAATAAGAACTGTTAAGATTCATGCTGATGTCTCTTTGTCTGTATCAGTAAGAACGAGAAAAGAGTCGGATACATCTTCTGAATTATCTTCCCCTCCATTTTGGAACCATCACCAAATCTTAGCTTTCAGGAATTTTTATTACATGTTTAGTTTCGTAACATTGCCCTCTCTCACCATCTCAAATTTTATCATAAACTACTGACATAATTTTGACTTTAACCTCCTATTCTACAAGACACATGTATTTGGAATTTTATGAGTAGTTCAAAACTAACTGATCTTGTCCACTATTTCCTTCTGTCATAGAGAACTCTTTTCACAGTGCTTTCCTTTACCATTCGGGTAGTTCCCATGATTCAATACCAACTGCTTTCTGTCCCCATTGGCATGCTTTGCTGTGCCTTCTTAGCAAATTCTTATCAGGGCAGGAAGCTGGACTGACAATCATCGGTGTCAGCAGCCAGGACTGTAGAAAAGTCTCCCAGGCCTGTGGCCTCTTGTTTAAGGTTATTAATAGTGTTGTGTTTAGTGGACAACTCTGTGCATCTAGAATAACTTTGGGGTTGGGAAGCTGTTTGGTCCTTGTATACAAGCCTCCCCTACACAATGATAATGAACTTTTAAGTAGCATATGGATCTGCAGATGAGAGGTGCTTGTCCATAGTGAGAGTTTCGTTTATCTATTGAGGAAACTGAGAAATAGAATAACCATGAAGTGACTCTTTCTTAAGGTGAAATACATTGAATGTCATTTTGTATAATATATTTGTATAATTCACTGTATTTCTATCACAGCATTGTAGAAATATAATAAATAATAATTATGAGATTATATTTACGTGACCTGTGAGATGGTGGTTGTGGAAAGAACCACAGACAGATAATTGTGTTGACAACATCAGTCAGTTAGTTAGAAAAGAAGTCTTTGGCCTGATACCCTTTACCCAATCTTAGGATTCAGTGGAGATAAAAAGAGCCTGTGTCTGCTGTTGCTGTTGGCAACATTATCCCAGCTGTCATATTGCTTCAGAAAACCTGCCAATGGTATTTGAGATTGAATATCATCGTAAACATTAAAAAATAGAGCATATGCTGAACTGCTTTGGAATAATTGACTTGCGATGTATTTCATTTTTAAAAATAAAGCCTGCCTCTTGTCAATATTAAAAGA